ACAGAGCCCGATGTGGGGCTCGAACTCATGAGCTGCGAGATCATGACCTGAGCCGAAGTCGGACGCTTAACTGACTGAGCCACCCAGGCGCCCCTTGAGTATTCTCTTATTAATAGATGCTTCATTTTTTCCAATTTTTTTCCATTATACTTAAGCATAAAGAGCTATTTATTTATTTTGAGAGAGAGAGCAAGCAGGGGATGGACAGAGAGAGAGAGAGAAAGAGAGAGAGTCTCAAGCAGGCTCCACGCTGTCGATGCAGAGCCTGATGTGGGGCTCCATCTCATGAATCCTGAGATTATGACCTGAGCCGAGATCAAGAGTTGGGCACTTAACCAGCTGAGCCACCCAGGTATCCCAACAGCTGTTTATACTTTTAAAAGCCAGTTCCTTTGGAGGGTGTATCTGCCTCCTTTTGATTTGCTTTTAATTGTCTGTACTAACTAAATCTGGGATGTAGAGGTGGTCTGCCAAAATGGAAAGAAATAGCTATTGATACGATTTGAGATTTAGAATAAGTCAACTTTTTTTTAGATTTAGATAATAGTGACTTTCCTGAAAATTGGAAGATTATATATGTTGCTTTCTGGAATATGCGTGAGGAATTGTAGGTATTGTATACAATACGATTTTCTAGTCCTTAGCTAAGTAGTAGTAAAACAAGTTACCATCTTATCTTTGATTAGTTTGGAAGTAGTCAGACTCAATTTCTAGAATCCAGCAGAAGGTTAGAGTTTGAAGAAAAGTTGCTGGAAGGTGACAGAATCCTCTTATAAGAACTTTGGTTGAATAAGTGGCTTGCAGCAAAAGCTAACATGCTCCAGGAAATGTTTAGTGTGAATTACTTTCACTAAAGTGCAGAAATAAAAATAGCATTAATTGAAGTAATAACTGAATGAATGAGATATGTACCTTTATATTTGTTGATTTTTTAAAACATTTATTCATTTTTGAGAGACAGAGACAGAGCATGAGCAGGGGAGGGGCAGAGAGAGAGGGGCACACAGAATCCAAAGCAGGTTCTAGGCTCTGAGCTGTCAGCACAGAGCCCGACACTGGGCTCGAACTCATGGAACCATGAGATCATGACCTGAGCTGAAGTCAGACGCTTAACCGACTGAGCCTCCCAGATGCCCCGAGTACCTTTATATTTGGACATACAGTTGTAAGGTGTAACATTATAAAGTGATGATTTCTAACATTTAATGACACTCTTGACCATGTATAAGGCACTGACCCCTAAGCGCTTCAAGGGGTTGATTCATTTAGTCCTCTTATATCAGTAACAGTTCCAAATTATTATCTTTATTTTACAAACAAGGGATATGGGACACAGAGCAGCTAAGTAACTTGCCCAAAGTCATATAGTTAGTAAGTGGAAATGACAGCATTTGAACCTGAGTTGTCTGGCTGCAAAACTCACGCTTTTGACTACTTCACTCCAGTGGTTAATGTTTATATCTAGCTGTGTGAGTAAAAGGCTTGTTTCATTAAAAACAGAATAGATGGGAAAATGCTGCTATTTTCCTCTAAAAAATGACGAGTGTGGTTGCAATCATCATCTTTCATTGATTTCAGGCCAAATATTTTCAGGAGGAGAATAAAATAGCTTCCTTAGAGTTGGTCTGAAATTGTAACAAAGGAAAATGTCCTGCCTGCTGAAGCTATTCAGTTCTCTGCTTCTGAGCACCATGTTCACTGACCAATCTACTGACCTTTGTTCTTCAACAGCAAACTCCCATGATTTTTTTTTCTTTATAAGTTCCTCACAACTGCTTTTATACACCATCTCTTATTCTCCATTGCTATACTTGTTTCGTTCTGTTTGGTTTCTGAAGGCAGAACAGAACTGAGCCAGGCTCTGGGAGGGATAGATGGACAAGAGAGAGAGGCTAAAATTAGCTAAGTTTTAAGGTGAAGGAGAAATTTTGGAGGGGTGGAAAGAAGTCCTGCGAAATCATGGGGATCTTGATTTATAGGGGCCAAGTAACAGATGGTCACCACGAGGAGTGGTACTTTAGAACAACATAACAAATAAAAGGTAGAAGAAATACAAAAATATCTGTTCATAAGACCCAGGAGAATGCTGTGGCATCAGTGACCAGAGGGATGTTAAGACGTTGAGATGAACAGGAGTGCCCAGAAGAGGCTGTTAGAGTTGATGTTCTGGAAGTGGAGGGTTTAGTTGTAATGGCACAATGCGGAGAGTGAGGCAGCAGTTAGGAGGGAGCCAAAGATAGATGTTCGTCCAAATCTAAACCCTATAAAAGTATCAGTGATACATTAGATACGCCTTTACTGGATGGATCTCAGGAAATGATGCAACGTTCTTGTGTGCTTGTGATCGTTCCTATTATCTTGTGTCAACTTAAGTAAGTCATTTGGCATCTATTTTTATGCTATAATGTTGCTGTTGTTTATGCTATACTTTAGAATTTAATCAGTGTTGAGGAATGCATTATATATACCTTTGAAAAGGCAAATAATAGTAAGAGACAGTTGCTTCTGGAAAGTAGCACGCAAGGTACCTGGTGCCAATATACCAGAGTAATATAGAGTTAAGACTATATTATGATATAGGAAGATCCATGTAATAAACTTATCCTCAAACTTGGTTCTAGCAAAAATTTTTTTCTCTGCATGAGATGCATGCTTGGCCCATGAGGAAACTATAACTAAGCACATTTGTCTCATGTGTCAGAAAACTCAGAGATAAAGTCCACATTCAACTGCAATAATTTATATATTCCAGATGCCAAGAATCAATAGAATTTTTTTTCTGCTCTTCCTCTTCCCCCACCCTAAATTAAAAAAAAATTTTTTTTAAATCAATTTGCTTTCTACTTGTGGTTAATTATATTCACCTCAAAACCTGTTCAACAATGGGACAGTTATCAGTCTTAAATATCTATATATCTATATCTATCTACAGATCTATATCTATATAGGTGTAGATAGATAGATAGATAGATAGATCGATAGATACTGATATATACAGCATGGTTAGGTGGCTTGCATGGTTCCTTTTAGTTTTCCATATATATTTCACAGGTTACCTACCTTTTGTGAAACATTTCCTGTTCTTTGTACTTCAAGATCAAGATGTCTCTTGTTGTTTGATGTGTTAAGTTTCATTTGCTTAATTGTTTTGAACAGGAGATAATACATGTGTGTCCTGCCCTGGATTCCCCACCCCTTAAGGGATGGCCCCTGGCTAGAACTGTCTAGATAGATGTAGTGCTCTGTTCTATAAAGCAGTCATGATATTGTAAAAAAGGTGTTATATACTCTGGTGCACAGTTTTATTTGTAGATGTTTATGTCTGAATATTCTTTCATTCAACAAATATTTACTGAGTGCCTACTGAGTGCCAGGCGCTCTTCTGTGTGTTACGTGAGCATGCTGAATGGGGTCCCTACCCAGCAGAGCTCATGTCCTTAAATAAGTAGTTGATGGCAGGGTGTGGACAGGCAATAAAAATAGTGAATATATGTAGTGGATTTAGATAATGGTAATGACTATAAAGAAGACAAAGGAATATAGTAAGGAAGTGTGAGTAGTCATAGGAGTTGGGGAGGTCTGGTCTGGTAAGGATTCTTGAAGAAGGGGATTTTTGACCAGGGAGATTTGAAAGTAACATACACTAACACAGACTTTTGGGTAATCACTTCGAAGCATCGGAACTTGTGCGGTGCCTGGGTGGCTTATTCGTTTGACTAACTTCAGCTTGGGTCATGATTCTTGTGGTTCGTGAGTTTGAGCCTTGCGTCGAGTCCTGTGCTGACAGCTCAGAGCCTGGAGCCTGCTTAGGATTCTGTGTCTCCCTCTCTCTCTTTCCCTCCCCCACTTGCATTCTGTCTCCCTCTCTCTTGAAAATAAATAAACATCAAAATAATAAGCATAGGAACTTGTTAAAGGCCTTAATTCTTACAGTTATGTTCTTTATAAAAAGTGCTTGTGTATGAAATGTAAACCGAGCATTATGGATTTATTTGAACTTGAAATAAGTTTTTTAAGGTTTTATTTGACTAAAAATGACAACACTTGGGGGTATAGCTGCTCTGCTTTTAAAACAAGAGCGATGTGGTTTTTTTTTTTTTTTATCTCGACTTATGAAATTAAGAAAAACAAATTGTACTTTTGTCATGTATCGGACATTTTTGAAATGTGTGTGTTATACTCTATGTTAGCAAATATAGTTCTGAAAAGTGATGCAACAGTGCAGTTAGCTTACAAATGATTTTGTAACCTTTTTCCAGAAATTGATCACCCACGAGAAGTTTGAAAGTGCATGTGAAGAACTGAACAATGCGTTACTTAGGGAACAACAGGCACAGATGCTATTGAATGAACAGGCTCAGCAGCTACAGGAGTTGAATTACAGACTTGAATTGCATTCCAGTGAGGAAGCTGACAAGAACCAAACTCTAGGAGAAGCTGTTAAGGTAGGAAGACCTTGGTTTATTTCCTCTAGGTGTGGATCTCTGAGGGAATCATTTCTATCTCCTGAAGAGGGAGAAATCTTATCCTGTAAAAGTTTGTAAGGATGGAATGAACTTGGTTCTGAAACCTCAATTCTAAGCATGCGTTCACGTGTATTGAAAATGTAAAAGCAGTTGAAAACTACTTGCTAGGTGAAAACAAAGTAGGGATTTTTTTCCAGGAGTAATTTTCTAATTTTTTTTTTTTCATTTATCTTCCTTTGTTTCTTCTCTTCACTTCTTTTCCTTTACTTGCTTTATACCCCCTGGCCATTGAGACTCTATGTATCTTCTGGATTTTGAAGAGTTTTGCATCTGGCTCTGTCTGATTCTTATCTAAGTGCATGTCTGGGGAGGAGAAAGGTTTGTTTAGGAAGAGTTGGTCTCCCTGTCATATATTTGTGGCAAAGATACCTAGAAGGGAAAAGAGAAGTTACAATAAAATAGTTGTCGTTTAGAAAATTTCATTAGCAGATTTAGGACTATGGTATCTTTAGGAGATGTTGGCTGTGAAGTGTAATAGAATTCTTGTTTCTGATTACATTTGTGGAGTTTTCACTAGTGAAGTTATACACACCAGAATGAAATAACTAATTTCAGGAAAACAAAAATTATATAATATAGCTTCTATATTGGGTATCCTATCTAATGCAGTAAGCAACTCAGAGTTGATATATAATTTATGATGCAAATAGTATATATTTATTCTAATAGCTTAATACTATACTACTAATAAGATAGTCAAAATTTAGTGAGAGCTTCCTATTTGCCAGGCACTATGCAAAATATTTTATAAGCTATTATCTCATATAATCCTCATACTAACTCTATGGGATAACTCCCGTTTTGTAAATGAGAAAACCAAGATACAGAGAGGTTACGCACATAACCACTGCTAAGTGCTAGACCTCGGGAGTCAGATTTCACATCTGCCTTCCTAACTGTTTCATTACATTTACTATGGATTGACAGCACATGTATGCCAGACTCTGTGCTGCTATCTCTACATGAATTATTTTGTTTCATTCTTAAATTACCCCCATGAAATAGGCACTATTATTATTCCCAGTTTTGAAGTTATTATTTAAACGCCAGTTGGTTAATATACAGTGTAATATTAGTTTCAGGTGTACAATATAGTGATTCAGCAGTTCCATACAACACCCAGTGCTCATCACATTAAGTGTGCTCCTTAATCCCTGCCTACTTCACCTATCCCTTCATCCACCTTCCCTCTGGTAACCATCAGTGTGTTCTCCATAGTTAAGAGTCTGTTTCTTGGTTTGCCCCTCTCTCTCTCTTTTCTTCCCTTAGCTCGTTTGTTTTGTTTCTTAAATTCCACATGTACGTGAAATCACATGGTATTTGTCTTTCTTGGAGTGACTTATTTTGCTTAGCATAATACTCTCTAGCTCCATCCATGTCATTGCAAATGGCAAGATTACATTCTTTTTGATGGCTGAGTAATATTCCAGCATATATATATATGTGTGTGTGTGTGTATCTATCTATCTATCTATCTATCTATCTATCTATCTATCTATCTCTATATATATCTCACCTCTTCTTTATCCATTCATCACTTTGTGGACATTTGGAATCTCTCCATCATTTGGCTGTTGTTGGTAATGCTGCTATAAACATAGGGGTGCATGTACCCCTTTGAGTCTGTATTTTTGTATCTTTTGGGTAAATGCCTAGTAGTGTAATTGATGGATCCTAGGGTAGGTAGTTCTATTTTTGTTTTTGAGGAACCTCCATACTGATCTTCAGAATGGTCACACCAGTTTGCATTCCCACCAATAGTGTAAGAGGGTTTCTCTCTCTGAATCCTCTGCCAACACCTGTTGTTTCTCTTTTTGTTTCTTCTTTTTTAAATGTTTATTTATTTTTGAGAAAGAGAGAGTGAGCAGGGGAGGGGCAGAGAGAGAGGGAGACAGAGAATCCCAAGTGGGCCCTGCACTGTAAGTGCAGAGCCTGACGTGAGTCTCCATTGCATGACCATGAGATCATGACCTGAGCCGAAATCAAGACACTTAAGGGACTGAGCCACGTAGGTGCCTTTGTTTTTTGTGTTGTTAGTTTAGTCTCATTGTTTTTTTGATGAAACAGAGTGTTCAGTTGACTTGCTTGGGGTCTTCTGAGCTGGGATTTAGTGTTCTAGAAAAAATTAGAAAATATTGAAATTTAACAGAAGAAAATACAGATGACCTCAAGGAAAAATCATCCCAGGATACTATTAATATTTTGGAATATATTTTTCCTGATACATATATTAAGTCAAAGCATTTCACGTTACTGTTTTTATAAGTCAAAAGCAGAAAAATGCCAGCAATTTTATATGGTTCAACCTAATATATATAGTTTTTCTTACCTAAATGAAAACATACTTATATGCTGTTTTATAACATACTACTTTATATATTAATAATAGTTGTATGCATTCTTACTAGTTGATATGACTCTGTTATATCAATGTTTTTTCCCTTTTGTAAACATAATTAATAAATATTCATTGTGTAAAAATAAGAAAATATCGATGAAGAAAAATAAAAATTAAGATTCCCAAATCATATCATCAGATATATCTACTGTCAAAATTTTGTTATATATTATTTCAGATCTTACATTTTGTGAATATGGAAATATAACCAAATCTATGTTAATAAAATGCAATCATACTATTATATGTAAATTCTAATTTAGTTTCTGAAAACATCATGTCAAGAATTTCTTTCCATGCTAAGGTATATAGCAGTATCAACGTCTTTAATGGCTGATAGAATTCTTTGAATATGCAGAATATTTTAACCTAGTTTCTTAATACAGTTTCCCTCCCTCTCTCTTCCTTCCTTCCTTCCTTGCCTTTCTTTCTTTCTTTCTTTCTTTCTTTCTTTCTTTCTTTCTTTCCTTATTTACCTCTATTATAAGTAATTCTAAGATGAGCAATCCTGTGGCTAAATATTTATACACATATCTGTAATTATTTCCTTATTATAAAATCCTAGATGAGGAATTACTAGGTGAAAAGCCACATGAAATTTAAAGTATAAATGTTATAAATTGGCCTACAGCAAATTTTTACCAGTTCACTTCTCTCATAAAATATATGGTGATTTCACTTTTTTTTAAGTTTAGTTATTTATTTTGAGAGAGAGAGAGGGAGCAGGGGAGGGGCAGAGAGAAGGGGAAAGAATCCCAAACAGGGTCTGCTATCAGTGTGGAGCCCGATACGAGGCTTGATCTCACGAACCGTGAGATCACGACTTGAGTGGAGATCAAGAGTCTGACACTTAACTGACTGAGCCACCCAGATATCCTGTGATTTCACTTTTTTTTTTTTTTTTTTAAATTTTTTTTTTTCAACGTTTTTATTTATTTTTTTTGGGACAGAGAGAGACAGAGCATGAACGGGGGAGGGGCAGAGAGAGAGGGAGACACAGAATCGGAAACAGGCTCCAGGCTCTGAGCCATCAGCCCAGAGCCCGACGCGGGGCTCGAACTCACAGACCGCGAGATCGTGACCTGGCTGAAGTCGGACGCTTAACCGACTGCGCCACCCAGGCGCCCCTGTGATTTCACTTTTTACCCAACCAGGCTATTACTATTGAAGAATTTTTTGTCATTTGATCAATATGGCATTTTTATTCTAATTTCTATTTCCTTGATTACTAGTCAAGTTGAACATTTTTAGAAATATGTTAGTCAACATTTTAATGCCTCGTGTCCCGTTAATAGATAATGAAATTAACTAGGCTTTGACAAAGTGTATAACAGTGTCCTATGGAGTCTTTTCTTTCTGTAATAACTCGTGGTTTGTATTTAGGTGTAGTATCTTCCAGCAGAGAAAAAGCTGTTCATATTCATTTCTTTAAAATGCCAGTAGCTTAAATATTGTTGTCAGGAGTGGAGAATTGTTTAATTACTATCTCTTAATTAGAACTAGCAGGTGGTAATGTGAAAATGCTCTCTTGTGGGAGATGGCATAGTTCAGCAGAAAAAGCACTGGCCTTGGAACAAGTATTTCTGAATTCAAATCCCAGTTCTGTCACTTGGGCAAATAACTTAACCTTTCTCAGCCTCAGGTTCATCTTCTGCAAAATGAGGGATAATGATACTTAAGTTACAGAATTTTTATGGGAATTAATTAAGATACTAGTTGAACAGCAAGTATATGCTTGATAAATATTCTTTTGTATTTTTCAGTAGTACGTAAGTAGTTTTTTACGTGTCCCTTTAAAAAAATAAAATGTGGGGCGCCTGGGTGGCGCAGTCGGTTAAGCGTCCGACTTCAGCCAGGTCACGATCTCGCGGTCCGTGAGTTCGAGCCCCGCGTCGGGCTCTGGGCTGATGGCTCAGAGCCTGGAGCCTGTTTCCGATTCTGTGTCTCCCTCTCTCTCTGCCCCTCCCCCGTTCATGCTCTGTCTCTCTCTGTCCCAAAAATAAAAACAAAAAAAATAAAAATAAAAAAAATAAAAAAATAAAATGTGTTGCTTCTTTATAAAAACAGAATAAGATCATGAATAGAAAATATGGAAAATACAAAAGAAAAAACAAGTTACTTATAACTTATTATCTGAAAACAACCAGTTAACACATTGGGGTTTTGTTTTTAATCATTTTCTATATGTAATAGTTTTCATAAATCATACTTTGGATGTGATGCTCAGAAAGGCCTTCCTTTATGAGACAACTATTTTTAGAGCAAGATACCTATTGTATTACAGTAGTGCATTAAAGAGAAAAGGAATCTCCAAGGACAAAACTATAACAACACCAACAAACCCCAATGAGTGGAATCAGAGTTAGCACTGTGAACAGATGCTGGGCTTACGCTGTAGACAAGTGCCAAAGTCAATGCTCGAAGTAGGAGACAAAGCTCTGGGCTCCACCAGTAGATCAGGCCTTGAACTTGTGGTTCCCACACTAAAGAATTGCCTGATAACCTGAATGGGATAATCTCA